AGGTGAAAATAGGGCAGCTACGGAGCGACAAAAACAATTCTCTCGAGCCGTCTACTTGATGAAAACAGCTCCTCCAGAACAAACAGTGTTGTTTGGAGGTGATACAAATCTACGAGATAAAGAGGTTGGTGAAATTTCATTTTGATGTTGCCAAGTATGACTTGAATTTACTCTGTGAATCTATTCAGACATCTTAACCTGTTAACACCCTTTTTAGGAAAACAAAAATGGTACTAATTAAAGGATCTGAATGTTGGTTACAGGTGAAGAAGTTTGGCTTGCCGACATACATTCATGATGTCTGGGAGATGATTGGATCCCCTTCAGAGAGCAGATATACCTGGGATCTGACTAACAATGATAACTTAGACTGGCCATTCCCAAACCGACCACGCCTTCGTTTTGACCGCCTTTATTTGAGGCACCCAAAAACGATGTCAGAAGTCCTAGCACCAAACACGTTCGATCTTCTTGGAAGAGAACGGCTCTCATGCAACAAGTTTCCAAGTGATCACTGGGGCATTGTTTGTGATTTTCAGGTAAAAACGTCCCCACCACAGGTTGCAGAGGGGTCTCCTTCCAAAAAATTTAAATCTTTGCATTCACTTGGACAATAAAACAGATATTTTCCTTCACTGAGTACTTTTCAATCTATAAATGTCTTCACAACAAAAAAAGATCCAGCATGTCCAAAGCCTGGCGTCTGTCATTACAACGTACATGTACTTTAACCACTTGACATCAGATGATGTGTAATCACACATAATTTCCTCCTTTGTTCCACGGAGAACGTGTACACTCATTTAAGAGTTCTTTTTTTTATTTCTGCAACTCATGTATTAACGCATCATGCTTGATTGGGTCCAAGCACAGTTGCAAGACTGAAGAACTTTCTAAAAGAAAATCTGATGCTAACTGGTGAAAAAAATTCAGAAACCCTGTTTGTCTAGTTTCAAAAAAGTCCAGAATTGTTTATTATTATACACAAATTACCATCTAAAAGATGGCCAATAAAAGATGTCATTCATCTGGTACAAAGCTTAACGATAAACACTAAGGCTTGTCTTCAGAAGAGTGGCCAATCATTACATGTACACATATGCACCATATATTGTCTTCAATGGTCATCCTATCAAATTGCATTCGATTGCTTTCTAAAAGAGAGGAAACTTGGGTAGAAAGTGACTAAAATGAAATTTACATTTATATACATGTACAATCGTCATGCATGAGACACACCTTTTAAAGTCAGTTTCATATTAAAATTCAGTGGAATGCTTGAGGGTTTGTAATCATCATAGTGGATAAAAAATGGATGTACAAGTCTAGCGATCAAACTGTAAAGGAATTTCCAAATAAAAATGTTGAATGGATTAGGATAAATGCTGTCATGTTTACATCCAAAATTAAAAGTGATAAACCAGATGCTTTGACATTCGGAGGAAGAACTGGCCTGAAAATTTCAATAAATGTGATGTCATGAAACGGCCAATGTGTGTGTTTCTTCTTTGTGAGCAGTTTTGATGAAGATGATACCAAAGGAGAGATTGAATGTGATTCGTTTGATCAATTTAAAACTCACTGTTACTCCCACACACCAAGCAGCCTTTGATTAAAGAAGAGTCAACATTTCAACTTTTCAATTGTTCTATACACTGTACATTTAACTGAGGCAAATTAAACTGCAGAGGACCAAAAAAAAGAAAAAGTACATGTATATCAAACTTTTTTGAGGGGAAATGCACATCTCTATCCAGAAAATACAAACTCCAGTGGTTGAGCAACAGCACCACGTGCAATGCACCTGTATGCATACGCTAAAAAAGCAACTCAAAACTGTCATTTGTTAAATGCCCCTTTTAGAATAAACATACATGTACATGTCCTTTGGATTACACTCCTTGGTGCATGTACATGTATGAATCCTACCCTGGGTCAATAGTTTATGTACATGATCCCACAAGAACGTTTCCAGGGTGAATCCCGAAAATACTGGTGATTTTTCCCTCAACTAGCGACTGGGCCCTACCTTCCTCACACCTGTAAAGAAATTAATTCTCCATGCCTCCTTGATGTGAAGGACCTGAGAAATGATTACCTAAACTTCAATGCTCAGAACTGAATATATATGTACATAAACAGTGATATAAACTGCTATGAATTTCCAAACCATTCTTGGTACTGTCAAGGACAACCTACATGTACGTGTGAACTTTGTAGTTTGAGTTTATTTGACTAAATTAAAAAACATGCTTGATTCAAATGAAACAAAGAAATATACATTTATTTACAAGATCAGTGCAAGTCTAGTAAGTTCACGAAATTGTAACTTTGAAACCTAAACTAATCATAAATCCCTACAAATGAAGTAGCAGCAAGGAGTCATTCACTTGTTCATCATCCAAAGAGCAAAATATACATCCATGAAAGAAGTAACTTTGGGTGAAAAGTTTGATCCCAGTCAATTCAAGTAACATTAGTTCCACAGCACTTGTTTGAATTATACAGTATAAACAAATTAAAAAGACAGCATCTCTGCTTCTGTTTGACTGGGCCAGTAGTGAAGTCAGATTGACTGAGACTAACAAAATATAGACCAGTGGCTCAGCAATGACAAAATTCAGATGGGGAGTCTCAATGGTAACTCACGAGATTCGTAAAAACTTATTAACAGTCACAAACCATCATTTGTACAGTGAAACACTGATAAGAGGAGCATTGCTACTATACAATGTCTTGTTCATATTAAAATAAGGACAATTTGAGGTCCCAAGTCTTTGTTTCTCTGGTTTTTTTTAATTACTGATTATTCAAGGTACCAATTATAACAAGGTGATTTGAAAGTCCCAAGGACCTTGTTATGTAGTATTGTGTCAAAGTTGGGTTGCTATGGCAAAGGCTCTACGAATGTGGTTGGTATCCAAATGAATACATTGGCATTTAATTACTGTTTCATAAGCTCTTACTTTGGAAAACAGAAATTATCGAGCAGGTCCCAGCTTAGATTACCCCAGTCCGTCTTGACGACCTCGTATCCGACGAGCTAGTTGGATGTCTTTAGGCATGATGGTTACTCGCTTAGCATGAATAGCACACAAATTAGCATCCTCAAACAAATGGACAAGGAAAGCTTCAGATGCCTGGAAAATAAGAAATAAGACCTTAAGATGAAGTAAATACTGTTTAAGCAAACGAATTTACCAGTGGTGAGATTGAGAAATGATAAAAATAGCTGAAAACAGCTGGAAAAAGGCATAACGAAGCTGAACTGTGAAAATCTCCTACACTTTTGTTCACAGCCAGTGAGGAAAAAAAGCTGAAATCCAAAACAAAACAAGCTGAGATCAGCTAAAAAGCTGGGAAATCTCATCAAATTTACTTTATCTCACAATAATTTTGAAAATTACAATTGAAGTCATATTTGCACTTTTTGATGCAATGCACAAGATAAAATTAATGCAATAGAAACATTTGATTGAGTCCACAATTTCATTTTCACCACACCAAACAGAAGTTACAGGAGCTCAGTTAACTTTGTTTCCAGCTTTCGTTTCACTATCTTAGAGGGTATTTTACTGCCATCTTGGTGTTTATGCTAATGAGCATCTTCATATTCACAAGTAAACCCTGTGATGCCATTCCGGGAAGCAAGCCTCAATGTTACATTGTTTTGTACACAAAGAGGCCCTGCCTTTTTGTAGATTTTTGCTGTACTAAATTTTCTCTTCTTACTGATTCCTTGTGTTTATGTGCACAGCAATTAGAAAGCACCAGTATATTCTGGGCTGACAATTTGAACATAAAACCAATGCACTGAACTACATGTATGTCTTTGCTGGATGACATCACAGCAATGGCTCCCTCAGTTGTCTAGAAATATGTCGATAATTTCAATTATTGTAAAAGTGCACTTTTCAATACATTTAACCAAAAAAATGAAGAAGAGTTTCATACATTGAAGAAGAGAATAAAGTTGCTGAAAAATTGTGTCTAAGAAAAATCCATTGCAGCTTCACTTTAAAGAACATCTTGATTCATTTTTTTACCTCTTGTAGAGCCATGATGGCCGCTGCCTGCCACATCAAATCATGATGAGAAAATATACTAGCCACTTCACGAACCTACACGTACACAAACCAAGAAAGAAATATACATATATCATTTGTAATCCATACTTGGTTTCCTTGAATGCAGCAAGAATACAAGTACCCTACAAAGCAGTCCCTATCTCGGACTCCAAATTGCTTACCACTCGTGCAAATGGAAGTTTAGCAATGAGTAGATTGGTCGACTTCTGGTAACGGCGAATCTCAAGCAAGGCTTTGGTTCCTGGTCGAAATCTGTGCCTCCTGCGAAGTTCTGTGGGAGCATAAATTTTTACAGAACTGAAACATCATAATAACAAACAAACATTGGAAGAAACAGAATCTATTGGCCTACCTACTGTAGAACAAATACATGTCAGCAAGACAGGTCTAGGCCGAGTCTTGCTCACTAGACAAAAATTGAAAAAGTTTAGCACGCCAGAAACACAAAGTATGCATAGATATCAACAGCATGAACATAGAATATAAAGCATGAATAGAGACTTCCAGTCGAGGCTGAGAGAGAGAGAGAGAAACAGATGAGATTTTGATTTGTTTTAGATCATGTTATCACTTCCTGGTGGCTGATACCACATTACATGTATTTTTATGATGCCCTTATGTGGAACTCTTACCGAAAGTTAGGCATTTTTCTCAGTCCCAGATTCATGTCTTTTCAGCATGTTCAGCTAGGGACAAAAATGAGTGAGGGTGCTGTTTGTTTGCGAACTCATTTTCCTCAATAGGAAATTGTCATTAAACTTGGTCTTTTTCCGCAGGTTCTAAGCCCTAGCTCCTCTAATTAATTTCCAATTTCCAAATTTTTGAAATTTCAAGCAAAGGCAGCATTTAATTCATTGAAACAAGGCATGAAAAAGAACAAACATATGAATTTTAAGCTTTTCTGTCAAAATCCACGTTCATTTTATGTACAAAAAAAAACCCGACAGTTTGCCCTGCATTACACACCATGTACACACGTAAGCTGAGTCCAACGTATGTGATCAAAACTTATATCAAAATGTTCCTTATGACATCCTCTCCAAGATCACTTGAAAAACAAAATAGACAAAAAATTCATGAGCCTCACGTCATGTCATGATGTAGTTCAGCATGTTCAGCATTTCTACAATTTTTATTGAAATGATGAAAAAAAGTGGACAACTGGAGGCAGGATGCATGTAACGTTAACACTCTTCTACATACCAGTGCCTGGGACACGAGGCGGTACGTTAAACATTCCCCCACCAGGCGTTGGTTGCCTACTCTGTGGACCGCTGGACGGTAAACTGTTGGGTGACACGACAGGTCGAGGTGACGGTGGACGCGGTCGATTGGGTTCTCTCCTCTTTGGAGTCAGACCCTTTCTTCGCTTTCCTCCACCAGTCTGTCGCTGGGCCTGATTTGTCCGAGCCATGATCAGAAATAACCTTTGAGTCACTTTTCGTTGATTATACTCGCCGTAGGTATCAGTTTCACTGTTGTCATGTCATCTGATGAGATTTCGTGAGTAAATTTGGCTCAATATCCGCAGTTCGAAAATCTGCGCCCATAAAATGGCGCCATCAAACAAAAGAGGGCGCCCTATAAAAACGGGCCCCGACAGAGGGCGCTAGAGGGGAAACAATTTTTCCTGGGGCTCCAAAACTTACAATACGTTACCACGAAAAGGTTATTATTTGTTTTCTGAAGCTGATCATTTATTTTCCAGAGCTGAACAACTAGATATTAACCCCAAAGCCTTTTCGGCATTGGCCAAATCATTTGAAAATCCACACCACATTTTCAGAATCATAAATAAATATGCTCACGACAATTACTCACGTATCGCAGACAGCATTTATTATATGGTAAGACTAGGTAAATTCAAAATTTTTTAAATTCATGTACTTTTAATAAACAGACACGCATATATCCGTCTGAAGCATAGTGGTTTATCAGGTGAAATTTAACATGACACCATTTCTTCAGGAATTGTAGGATCAAATCCTGAAATATTTTGTAACAATTAAATTCAAGATCAAAATGTACTTTATTTTAACATCACGTTAAAATCGGTAACACACGAGAAGACTAAGGTTGTGACACAGCCAACTGGAAAAGAATAATTCACATTCCTCTTCTAAACTTCTCAATAACAGGTGCACAAAACTTACACCAAGTTACATTTACTCAGAAAAAAGTCATAAAGGAAACCTTCAAGTTTGCGATAAAAAAATGACCTGCAGTGTACTTTGTACATTTCTTTCTTGTGCGGAAGCTGCTTAAATCTGATTTTTTTAACCGCTGGCTCTACACATAATATACACAGAAAAACTTCAATAAAAAATGGATGTGTCAGAGACAAACACACTTTACCAAATTTGCAAAGATAGATATTGTTCTCAAAACATTTCAAAAAAATGCTGCAAATGCTGAAGACAATTATACATGTATTTCACAAGTGTTTTCCCAATAATAACCTGTGTTGAATTAAAAATTACTCTAAATATCTACATTGCACGGACACGACACACAGAGTAGAGAGAGACTGTGACCATCTTTGTCAAAGCGATGGGGCCATTTTCAGTTCCTCCCTGATGCAATGTCAAGGCATTCCCCATCTTTACAGATCCAATCAACATGAGTTTCCTTCTCTAGTCGTCATCTGATGACAGCTGCTGCCATGATCTGCCTTTATCCAAGAGAGCATCTGAATGACGCACCTGACGAGACGATACCTGCAAGGATAACAAAGGCATTTCACTCAAGGTCTTCACCTGTGTGTTACTTGCAGAAAACCTACTGGTGACCATTTATTAACACTACATTAAAACTGACTTGACATCACCTTGGGACATAATGCGGTACCTGACTGGTCCTTGGGGATTGGGATAACATTTGGGTTATTATGTGACCGGGATGATTCCAAAACGGTACGGCAGAGGGCGCCAAGCTACTTACATCAGTCTGTGAGCGAAAAGTCTTGGCCTCCCACGCCTGTCCAACCAGGGATGATCCAGCTCTGTAGGTGCCACTGCCGTCGCCTGCTTCCTGACTAGAACTGCCAAATAACTCCCTGCTACTGCTGTTAGAAACAACACAGGAAAGAAATTCTCATGGCTTGGTACAGACTCAAGGAAGTCATCAACAGAACGGAGTTAACGAAACCACAAAACAGGGAGACGAGAAAATCAGACATGCTGTCAACTTTCTAGAATGGAGAAATTGGATTTTGGCGAAACGTTTATTCAATTTATCATTATTTCGTACGTCATCTACAGCATAAAAAATTGACAGAGGTAAGTCAACAGTTGGGGATTGTGAGTGGGCAAGGAGGTCCCATCATGTTGCACTCTATCAGAACGTGTTTGCACATCTGAACTTCAATGCATACACAAAGATCAGAGTCTGCTAGGCCCCAGCTTTTCAATTTAATGATAGACTAAACCAACTTACTCATGAACCATAGAGCTTTTGAGTCCTGAGCTACCAGGTCGAGTAGTTGAAGCTCCACCTGATGAGGGAAAGTATCAATCATGGTTTAATTTGATACTTACATTAATGCTTGAGCGTGACCTTTATGGGCACTGTACACTCAGTTGCTACCAGGGAATCAAACTTCAACCTTCTGCTTACTACTGCATATGTGTAACACCTGGGCCATCCGGCTTACCAAGTTAGATGGCTCAATGACCATACGGGCAATTCACACTACAGTGTGCCACCAAGAGTTTGCCTCAGACAGGCCACTTTTCAAGTTTATGGTCGACTCACTGCCCCGATTGAGCAAAATTTGGTACACTTGGGGATATTTGATTGAATGAGTCATTCCCTGAACCATCATTTTGACTACCTAACACCCATTCGCCGCAATTTTGAATTTTTTACCAAAATAAACAAATATTTGGGAAAATTGAAGTTTCCTGCGCACATCGCAGTTAGCCAATGAGACTTTGTCAACTTTTTATCTCATAACGCACAACGGAAAGCCTCTCCATGACAACCTCTTGGTGGCGCACTGCATTGTGAATCGCCTGTATTCATTGCCACCAAGCTAAGCAAGAAATGTTATCAAAAAGGTTATGTGCTTAGTAAATTCAGTTTGAGAGCCAGAGATTAGCAGCAAAGAGCAATAAGCCACATACAACTTAAATTTAAATAAAATCTGGTACACTATGTTATCTGATTGCACAGAAATGTAACAATTTGAATTCACCAGACTAAAGACAATGTTGCTATACCTCGTGATTCGGGGCAAGTTTTTGCATAGCGACCACCATCTCTGGAATGGACTGGCTCCTTTGTGCCGTTCTTATCCACTGAGAACAGTGTATTGTTGCAAGGCGTCTCTTATGTAACTAAGCAAATGATTGCCCTGAATCACAAGGTATAGCAACAGTGGTTTTAGTATGGAGAATTCAAGTTGTTATGTTCACATGAATTCAAAGAACTCAGTGTACCAGATTTTATTCAAATTTAACTTGCAAATGGCCGATTGACATTCGACCTGTAATCCAATGAAGAACTGTTGACTTACTGTTAGGCTCCACCCAAACAGGACGTCGCTGAAGTGGAACAGAGAAACAATGATATTCAAATTTAAATCTAATGACACAGTTACCTTCACAAATAATTCAAAAGAGTGAGTCAAAACTACACACAATACAGTTGACTGCAAATATTGTATCACTTTTCAAACATTTCTAAGATAGCATTTCTTATGAATTGAAACTGAAACCCTTCTTAATGATATAAAGATAAACATTCTCACCGGTCCAACAACTTCAGATGCACTCTCAAAGTCATCATCACTAGTGACAGGTGCACTGAATGCTCCACCATACTCTCCCGACGTGACATCACTGATACTCTCATAGGCACCGTACTTGCCCAAGGCATCACCACCTGCAGTGCTGGCATCATTGCTACTGACAAGCCTGCCAAACACAATGGTCGTAAAGTGCATTCACAAGTCACCCATTTCAAGCGGCAAAGCCATCAAAACTTAGCTACAAAAATGGAACAAACAAGAAGATTGTTTGAACAAAGACCATGAATGGAGAGGGGTCTGAACCACTGGCATCCACCCAAGTCATCATTCTAGTGATCGCACTACTGAGCTACCAAGCCCACAGTTGGAGATCTTCCAATTTGTGAATGGCTTCACGCGAGAACAAGTGGTTGCAAGTCCAGCAATTTGATCAAACTAGCATTCACCTTGCACATTTACTGCAGATTGCCACTTTGACTTCCGGTTCCGGCGGTGGGGCACGCCGTCTCATTGACTGCAGTAAAATAAAACAATAATGAGCTTACTTGATAAAATGAGAAAGTTTACACAACAGAGCAAGATACCAATTAACATAACAATGAGGAGAGAAAGCGTGAATTAAAACATGCAGAAATCTCAATACATGCCGGGAAGGGTCTTATGACTGTTTAAGTGTGTCGTGTAAATGGTCATCCCAACTCATTTGAATCTGTTGAACACTTGGATAGAACATAAAAAAGGGACATAGAATTTACAAGGAAATATTTGAAGTTCCATCACCACAGATAATACCATGCAGTACTGTCTGGGAAAATGGGGCATGCACAAAATAAACCACAGTGAACTAGAGGGGAAATAAAGAAGAAAAGTCGTTAAACTCAGTCAGGCTTATCACCCAGGTATATCCTAGGTTATCAGACAAACAAAGACGTCCACAACAAAGGTATCCATGACAATGCAGATAACAGCATCTGCAGATGGATTGACAATTACGCACAAAAACACAAACACCAAGGACACAAAGACCAGTCAGTCTGAGTCGCACACATCTGCACAAATACTTGACAAAAGAAGACTCATCATGAGGTACTCGACAGATGCATTTGGGCTACAAAAGAAACGCCTGTTGACGGTATTTTTCTACATGATCGTTATTCCCTCTGCCCATGAAAAAGTATAAACATCAACCGATAAACATGCAGACAGGGTCACAAAAATGACTATAAGAAACAGCGACAAATTGTCAAGACAAGAGCAGCGGACCCACCATAAGTGCTCCAAGAAAACGCGAGGAAACCTGGAAAAGCCAGTGAGTTTGCATATACGAACAAACAGTCAACATACAAAACAAGTTGTAAAAATCAGGGGTTTAAGATAGTGAGAGTAACATAAGCACGTGGGTGACCATAAAGAAAACATGCCCCTTCATACCGACCGTAAACCTAGCCACTGAATTATGCATGGTCCAAGAAACAGTATAACCTTGTTTCAATTTAAAATTGTAGTTAACGACTTGCTGCCGGGGACTCTGGTTTCAGGTACCATGGGCTTGTACACATAGCCGGGATATCCGAAATCGGACAAAAGAGCTGGGCCTTGTAACAAAAAACCGTTCTCGTAACAAAAGCCTGAGCTGCTGGGAATTGCCAACATTTTTTCAGTTGTCAATAGCGACAGAAATCAGTCATTGTTTTGAAAGATTATACCACTGTTTGTGGCATTTAGTGCGAGCGGATTACACCGGGGACAAAAGCCCTCCAGGGATGAGCGATACAATACCACTGCATGCTAATCTGGCACATAGTGAAAAGACGCCAGCAGCACACTATGCCAGTTTCAGGAACAAAAGAAACTTATATAACACCACATAATCTGGGCTTTTTTTACAAGGCGGCAGGCCTGGCTGAAATACTCAGGCATCAATAGATGTTGTCTGTCAGATTAGAGTAGCCACCAGACAGTCACTCGATGGGGTTTAGGCGTTCAAGATAAAAAGATGTGAATTTTTTAAAGATTTTTGAAGAACGAAGATATAAAAAATCGCCCGGTTTTAGACACTGCATTTCCGATGGCACCCGGCAGCAGGCGGTTAAATTAAGCCACCAAAAAAGCCATTTTAACACTAGGGGACAACTTTGTTGCATTGTTAAGCACATGAAGCTGTTCATCTGAGGAAACTTTTCCAAACCTAAGCATGTTCCAGCCAAAATGTAATTGTGCCATACCTGTAAAAACTTCTCAGATATTTTTGTGTGAACATCAAAGATACTAAAACTGGATTGTACAGCCTTACCTTGCTGACTTTGCGTCCTGATGACTTAGCATTAGTCACCCCTTCAAAAGCTAAGTCATCCGCGTCCTCTGTTAACAACAAAAATTTGTCTCAGTGTTAACCTACAAATACGATTCACCTGAATTTCACTTACATGCAGTCCTCACAACCAAACTCGATAAAATAATCCTATTAACCAACCCAGTTTAAATTACCTGCCTCACTCAGTAAAGGTGATAACCTCAAATCAAATTTACGTAATTGAAATTCAACCCAAATCCCATGGATCCTACCCAACAGGTCGGTAGCCTCTTCATAGCCTGCCTGGTCTGGGTCGGTTGGCTCCTCTCCGCTGTCTAAGTAACCCAGAGTCTCTACCTTCCGTTGTGCGGCAGCCATTTCAGCTAGTTCCTTCTTGTGCTTCTTGGCTTTCTCCGCTGGCTTCTGGCGAAGCTCTTTCCTGACAAAACAAATGCTGAAACTGTAAACCCTTGAACACCAAATTCAGATTTCAAAAGTATTCTTTAAAAAACAATAACACTAGAAGAATTCCTGTCATATGGGAAACCAAGTGTGGTAAAGCATGCAGCTACGGGAAAAGTGAATAAATGTAGCAAGGCCAAACATTTAAGAGGGCTACGTTTTTCGTACTTCAGTAAGCATGAGACTCGAAGACTTCCAATTAAACTAATGAGAAAACTTTCAATACATTAGTTCTTACAATTCCTTGCTTGATGGTGTGGCCCTCTGTTGCGGCTCAGTCTTACTGTATTTCTTCTGCAGCTTGCTGTGGACATTTCTTCCTGCAACAACTCTGCCTCTCTCTCTTCTGCTGCCATTGGCCCACTGCGTCTTGGTGCTGGGGGAGAATCATCATCTTGTGACGTTGCCCACTGCTTGGCACCTACTAACAATAACAGTGTTAACATTAACAGTCCGGAACTCTCCACTTTTGATGTCGTGATTCACACAAGCTAAGGCTTAGGTTAGAGATTAAATAAAGGTCTCATTTTGTAAGACAGGGGTGGCTACTCTAGCTCTTTAGCTTCAAAAGTCTCTGGTCTTAGCATTTGAGTTTTATGATATCAATGCAGATGGCAATGGCCTCAAAAGTTTCCAAAATTTGGGCAGACTTTGAGGTTGACCTAACTCCCTAAAACATTTTAAAATTGAGAGCTCAAGATAAATCTTCCCCAGACTGGACACAACATCCTTGGGTATCTCTCCACATTCTGTAATTAAAAACTGCTTGCTTTATGAGACTTTCCAGTGTCCACACACTGAGGTCAGCGAAAGTCAGCTAACCCATCAACAAGTCCGCCTCATATCAACAACCAGATCCACTCCCGTCATCACCTGACTGGAATGTGACACTCTTAGCCTTCTCCTGCTCCTTCTTGAAGATGTGCTCCACATCTGCCTCAGAGGTTGGTGTGCGTTTCTTGCCGCTGGAATCCAACTTCTTGGACCTACGAACTATGAGTGGGGATCACACAGTAACAAGCAGCAAAGAACAGCCAAAAAAAAAGAAAATAAGAGAGAACTGGGGGGTGGGACTAACAAGAGGGACGGGCAACAGGTGTCTGGGGAGTCAAGGGGAAAACAGCCAACATATTCCGGGCTTCGGATAGCAAAATGGTGGGAGATACAGAAACAAACACGATGATAAACAAACAGTGGGGTAGTAGAGCATAGCATAAATGCAAACAAGGCAGAGGCAAAGCCAAAGAAATGTAACAACATAATCAGGAGATAGAGAAAAGCATTTCAGAAAAGAAGAAATGGAGAAAAATCAGAGATTTAGATTAGTGAAGCATTTTGCATTAGTACAGAACGATCATTATGCGCAGATGTGTATCAGAGTGCACACTGTCCCATGACTGTTATGCAAACTAATGAAGGCATGCAACCAAGGTGCAGACTACAGTATCACGGAATGTGTTAATCCTTGTTGGGAATTAATGAAGCAGAGCATGACAATTACAACAACTTGAACTCATTAGCTGCTGAGCTGCTACACTTGATCACGAACTAAATCACCAAATGCAATTGAAAGTACATCTCGTTAGCCACCTGCATTATTGTGACAACGTGACCAGACATACATGTAATTGTCTACTTCGCCATTAAAAGAAAAAAAAGAATGAGAAAATAAATGTCAAGGTTATTTTGACATTCACAATTAACTCTAGCTCTCCCCGCTAAGAATTCCTGTCAAAAGAAAATACCTAATAAACCATATTTAATGAAAAATTTGGCATCTGCATAAACCATATGGCCCAATAGACAATGCAACAAATAAAGCCAATCAACAAAAAGAATAAAACCAGCATCCAGCAAAGAAGTCATGTCTTGCTGATACTGTTTGGCAAGCGAGCAGTGAATCTAACATGTATGAAACGGGCAAACAGCTGGCTGGAAAGCCAACCAGTCCTTCCAGCAAACAAAGCATACAGCAGAATCACACATGTCCTACAAACACAGGCAGCAAGAGGCATCAGATGGGACAGTTCTGTGGAACACATCCCATACGCTAAAAAAGGAATAAAACTGAGCGAGGCAAACAAATGACTGCTTGATGAAGCAGGAATATCTCAATGTGATCCAGCATGACCAGAACAAACTTTAATGTCAAGGATCCCTTAGATCTAGCAGCCATGATTGGGTCCAAAAATCAAGATTTGGGGGGGGGCGTTACTTCTGACATGAAGAGAATCTCTCCATAAACTATTATGTTGGGAGCTTGCATCCACAAAAATAGTGTGCCTCTGCTAGAATGAAGATATTTTCATTGATTACTTCTGCTTTTGATGACAGAAACACACTGAAATGTACGTGCATCTTTAGCCCATACACTGAGTGACCAGTCGTTTTGGGGGAGACCAGTCTTCCTACTTCTGTTTATTCTGCAGAGGGGGGGATTATCAAGAGTATGTATATACATGTACATGCACGTTGTATAAAGCGATAGACTACAGAAAGTTAGCCATATAACGACAACAATCAAACAACAGGACTGACAAACAGACAATGACCAGCATGTCTTACCTTGTGGTTCTAGTTCCTCTGCTTTCGATCTAAGCTTCTTCATGTTATTGATCCAAGGCCGATCATATCCCCTATCCTCACCCATCCCAGTAAGGGCTGTGATATCATGAGAGTAAGATGGAAACAGAAGATGACGATGAACCCCACCCTGTCCCCGATTGCCCCGCCCTAATAACACCCCTTATATTCACCAATCCCTGCCATGGCTGTGATAAATGAAGGCAAGATGAAAACAAAATGACAATTTAATCCTGAGTGGCCCCGCCTACCCTCATTCAACCCCCTCCCCCTAGCTGACCATTGTTTCCACAAACTGGGTCAGTGTTGCTCTTCCCCTAACTACAACACAAATTAGGTCTTGCAGCTGCAGAAACATTGCTTATAAAATATCTTGGAAGTAAATAGGGCAACTACAAGCATTGTCAGATGAGTAAGTTAAGACTACATGTATAAACAATACATAGGAACACGGTGAAGTAAAACAAACAGCACCTTGGACAGACATGTATGTAACGCTAACCAAGTACTGTTTGTGTCCCAAGTGTGATGGCATAACAATCATACACCAAACAACAACAACATCTAGTGCTATGATGAGTCCTTCAAGAAAAGAGCAGGAGTACATTTACCTGGCAAGTTTTTCATGGAATGATTTTGGCCTCTATGAGCATTCAACTCTAGCTTTTTGGTTACGATGTGTCAAAGCACTACACTGTAAACCAGCCTAGGTCCTGAGCATTGCAGTTTCATTTTATTCAATGAGATAATTTCTGTAGCCATGTGTCTAAGTATGAAGGTGCAACCACAGGGTCAACAATCCTCAACCACTGAAAAAACACTGCAAATTATGTTGAAATAAAATGACCAAAAAAACCTCACTGCAAATTGTGTTGGAAAAAAACACCAAAAAATCCTCACTCTGAGTTTTTTTAACACAATGCTGTTCCAGCAAGTGCTGGAATCGCCCTAAAGTCAAGACAATGGACCAAGCAAGCATTTCCATGCTACACAGGGAACTTTGGATTCGTTACATTTTTCACATCAATTTATATTTGCTGGGAACACGAACACAAATGTAAAATCGTGATGTCAAATGAAATGGTTATGCTGAGAATTTGCAAAAGTTGAACACACATCTACTCAAATAAACTCCGTTCATTTTTATATTTGTCAATACAAATATATTTGTATATTTGCATTTAGTATCAACCAATCTCAACTCCCCAGCTAAGATGCGGAAACATGATAGGTGTAAGTGTAATGAGCTTTGGCACTGAAACTTGACAAGACTCTCCAGTAAAATGTAGTTCTTCTGATTTGTGCACAATCTACACTGACGGGAAAGGACACACTAATAAGAAAAACACAATGTCTGTTTACTACAGCTATGGGCGAACATGCATCTAAGAACAAAGACACGGTGAAACGTTCAATAACACAATCAGATGACCTTAAACTGCACGACAGGAAATCTATCAAATGGAATGAGCAGGGTGCTACTGGATTAATCTCAAACACACAACCACATTAGCTCCGGAAAAAGGGAAAGTCAAGATTACATTTAAACGTGTTAACCCCTTCACGCCGGGACGCGTTAAAACACGCCGTAAAAATTGAAATCCTCAGCCCGCTTTTCAGCTATTATTCTCAGCCCACGCTCGAGCGAACACAGACCCTGGCTCTTGTGTATATATGGTAATTGGTCTTTGTGTGTAGCCCAGAAATGAAAAGACCGAATTTGCATAATCACCAGCTTCACAATAGTCCCCACTTTGAAAAGAGCCAAAGGGAATGTGGAAGCGTGAGTAGAGCCGCATGCCCTCGAACAATCAGCCTTTTACCGTGTAATTCAAAGCGTGCAGAGCACGCTGGGCCACAAACCGAGAATTTTTGGTTTGGTAGGAGGCCTTCGTGACCAAGCCATGCTGGAATTCTTGGAGTCGGCTTTCGGAAAGAAATTCCCGCCGAGAAGGGGTTAAAAAGGACGACTGAACATGCAAATACCTCCACATTACACTGCACATTTTTGGTACATGTACACACATATGTGGAGGCGTTGCATTTGTGCTAAGACAATCATGATTTGAAGGCTAGTGCAATGACTATACACACTCCTACTTACCAGGCTCAGCTAGTATTGTGAAATTCACACAGTTGGATCAACATCAAGGATTCAAAAACAAGCAAGAACTTGTCAGTATTGTTTCACAAACACTCAAGCCTCTCTAGCCAGACAGGTTAATGTCATCAAAATATATATGTTTCAACTGATATATTGCTGAAGATTATTTCTGAACCTTCTGATCTGATGAAGATAAACAATGGTACCCTAAGAATTGGAGTCATTAAACAATATAAATAAAGTTTTAAAGTAAAACTTACAAGGTTGGAAAAAGCTTAGTTTTGAAGAAACTAATGTCCTGAAACTTACAAGCCGAAGTCCAGCCAGACGTAGTTTTACTCTTTGTTCCTGAATCAACAGGTTTCTTTGTCGTCGGCAAAGAAGATGACAAATCAGGCTGCTTGTGAGAAAAAACCAAACAGTATCAAATTAAAAGTACCAGCTGTGACTAAAAATTTAGAAGTATTCAGAAACATGCTAATCGCAGTGGAAAATTGAAGTTATCTAAATAATTGGAATAAAATGTCCAATACACAAAAATTTGGTACATGTACATGTATTTATTTGCAATGTCCACCTGACCACAGACAATATCTTAGGTGACCTTTGATGTAAACACACTTTGACTTTAATGATTTAGTCCTCCAACAATCATTCGGTGTACATGTACATGTATTTACATGTAACTGACGATGACATACCGGTTTGGGCGTCTTTTCGTCAAAGCGCTGCAGAACTTTTATGAGGTATGGGACGGGATCATTAGGAAGATGCTTGATCAACCTCGCCATCAGATCCTGGTATACAGTTTAAGACAAAATTATTAGATTTACTTTATCATCTCCCACCAAGTACTGCTAGCAAGTGGTAATTCTGCGTTACAACCACCATTACCTTTGCAATGTTAGAAAGGTGAAAAGTAAACATTAAATAAACAATTTGTTCACCTGTTGTTATCAGTGTTGTATACAAGTCAAGACCATCACAAGACAAGACACAAGACCATCACAAGACAAGACACAAGACCATCACAAGACAAGACACAAGACCATTACAAGACAAGACACAAGACCATCACAAGACAAGACACAAGACCGTCACACGACAAGACACAAGACCATCACAAGACAAGACACGAGACCATCACAAGACAAGACACAAGACCATTCACACGACCAGTCACAAGTAACAGGGTGAACAATGACAAAGGAATGCTTTTGTTGCAGTTCATTTGAGTACGCGTAGCTAGTGACTTGAATTCAGACTGGAGGTCTTGTGCTGGTCCTGTGCCGGTCTTGTGAAGGTCTTAAGTGGTCTTAACTACAACACTGGTTGTCATGTGCTATTAAAAACATGACAAACGAAAGCTATGTTTTTCTTCAACCTTGTTTGTCAACATTCAATTCAGGTGTCAGCGTTTGAAGCTGACATTAAAAAATGATTATGTTGATAAACATTTTACCGTCTATTACTAGTATCAAGCCTGCTTATTTAACACTTTTCTTTGAAATGGGTAAGGTGTACTTTGTGGACACCTCTGGGTTTTTTTTCTTGAAAAAGGTGGTTCACTGGAGATTGGCTTCTGAATGGAACTTTTCAGGAACCAGTTGGTTACACATATATATGAGTACATGACAAGTCAGGGCCCAGTATCAACGGCGTATAGGGTCTACCCTTAGTTAAACACTTCAAAAATCAAAACCCCTACTCTCTTTTGTTCGTGTCTTTCCACAAAATTATCAATCCAGCAGTGCATTTCATTTCATTTGTTATTCCCCGGGACAACCAAACCATAATGGACAAACAGAAAATACAAAGACAGTTACAAATACAGGACCACCCCCAATGGATTTCCAACAGCAAACTTAATCACTGTCAAGTGACTCTCCTGGTAGTACTGCATGTACACATCTATACAAACCATAACCAGAGATAAAATCCAGCTAAGATTTATTATACAAGTGCATATAAAAAATAGATAAATAAGAGATTGTACAGACAGGACCAGTGTAAAGAATTTATGCTGTAAACATACAAAAAATAAAAATATTAAAACAAAAATCAAGCTATGAATTAAATTAATTTACACAAATAAATAAAAGATTGTACATACTTACAAGGCTAGTAACTAATTACTGCAGTGTAAACCACCCAGTTATGAAATTGCATTCAGGTATGGAACAGTCACAGGAAAATCGATTTCAGATAAGATAAATTTATCGTTTAAAAAATTGTGATCTGTTAATAGAATCATAGAATAGACTGTTTAGACAAGCATAACAAGAGTTGAGTCTGTCGGTGTTCAGCGTGTTCTTCCTACAATCGCACCGTACATGTACCTCCATCGTCGGATACTGAGATAGTCGGTGGGTTCAGGAGGCAGGGCATTAATTATCATACTAGGTACATGTAGGAAAGTGTTATCGTCATCTAGTTGCTTAGGTAAGTCAACAGTTTATCAGTTTTAGCTCCATTTTGAAAACTAAGGTCCTCCTTAACGGTCAATTAACAATCAGAAAAAATTATACGAAACAGAGATGACGTTTCGAATTCAATCAATTTGGTCATTTGTCTGTTTTTGTCATGTTTGTCTGTCCTGAAAAAACCTACCTCAAAAAGAGCACTAATTCGATGTTTGTCAAGATACGTTTGCACTCTCTGTTGACTCGACATCTTGATGATTAGCCCCCTGCTGATGAATGCTGTTAGAATGATAGAATGAAACGAAACTTTTTCAATATTATTTTGGCCCTAAATATAATCTCAGTCACTTCCACCCCACTCTCAGCGCGGAAGAGGCTTTCTTTCAATTCAACATACAGAGGGCGCTATGTAAAAAAGTCAAGCAGCGTGAAGGAGCACAACAATTAATGCGACGGCACGGCGGTGACCGACAGGGTACGGACGTACCTTGCCGTTATATAATATTATTTTAACATATTAGCAGTGGTGGTAAACAACTTCTGTAAACGCAGGCTGATTATCGACTACCTTTGAAAACCGTATTTTAATTTGTACTGCTCAAATTGAAAATGGAGGGTGCTGGTGATCGCAAACTGGCCCCAAGGGTTTGTATGCGTGTGGATCTTGTTCATGTATATATCAGTGACTGTATCATGTTCGTCAGGATGTGGCTTAATCAGGGAACGATAAGCTTGTCTTAACCACTAACTCTATGGGGTTCGTCGCGAGCGCCCATAGGGGTACTCTTTGCCTAAGTTGATTGGTTCTTTGTATGGGCGTGGCAGAGGTGGGTTGTGCGTAGCTGTACTCTGGACTAACATCAGTAGTAGTACAGTACATGACATGTTTTGATTTTATTCCCCATATTTAGCAACCGCGCAAGATTTATAACTAGTAGTGGTAATTGTCTGAGATTGCCATTATGACTAATGATGATCAAATGCCACGTCCTAACTGTGATGCGTCCTATTTATTTAAAGCAAAGACTTTGTAATTAGCATGATTAGGAATGGATTAATTTTAAGAATGATTATTTGAGGACCCCATTTGTCAAGAATGTTGGATAAATTTTGGAAGTTTGGTTCATTTTCTGGTGAATGTTATAGTAATTTGTTTGGAAATGCTGTTCATAAAGACAGAAGTTCTTTTGAGGCTCGTAGTAGAAACCCATCAGAAGATATAGACCCCATACCCTAAACATGCTAAAGGCTCGTCGGAAACTGCCTCAAGGGATACCTTATCAGATGTTGTTTTTATTGTCCTAGGTGGAACTTCACATTCATTTAGATGGTGCACTGAGGCCATCCACGGTCTGGGAACTTGCAAAGTGAGTCAAACGTACGTTTTTGTTTACTGTAAAAATCACAAAGCCCAGAAGACACGAGGCCTTATTTTACAGAATATATTCCCTGATTTATGTTTTTGCTTTATAGTTTTTTGTAACATTTCCTGTAGAAAACGTGGTGTGGATGTACCAGGCTCCAATCCAGAGGAACTTGCTCAAACCATCAACAACTTCGAAAGGGGTGACCTCTTCAGTTTTCTGAAAACATTCCGAATTTTCATGCCAAGTATTGTGTGAGTTTTCCTTTCTGTCCTGTCAAAGATACCCTCATTGGCCCATTTCAAGGAACTTTTGTCTAAGAATTTGACAGTTCACATTTCTTTCTTTGAGAATATGTTGAGCTTTTTTTGTTATCCAATTGCTCCTGCCGTTGAGCTCCAACTCTCACAGGAGCAAAGAGCAATATCAAGACAGCTTTATAAGCATTATGAACAGGGATTTTTTTACCCTTAAATAACTATTAAGTATCATGCTATCCATAACTACTCTCCCATGAGCCAAGGCACAGTACAACACCATTTCTTGCTTTAACTCAGGGAGACAGTTAGGATTTCTCATCTGCTCATGTATACAGATCATCATTCTCGGGAGCTGCAGAAATGTGTTGATTGTTTTTTCCTTATTAATTTTTAGCGCTGACAAAGATGCACTCCGGCGTGTTGCCTACGAGCTTTGTGAAGACAAAGCCACGGAGGGCGTGGTCTACTTTGAAGCTCGCTTGTGTCCACCTCTTTTGGGTAATGCAGAAATGATGAGTTGGTATCAGGATACAATCAAGGACCAACTTTCCAGTCAGGAGGTGATGGCAGGTGTTGTGGAGGGACTAGAGGCTGGACAGAGGGACTTCAACATCAAGGCACGACTGATTCTCACCACAACCAAGGAAAAGCCAGGTGGGTTGGAAAAGAGTTGGACATTTCTCTTTATCTTAACAACTGTGTCATTCACAAACAGCATGAACACTGTACAAGATCTTTGTAATACATTCCCCAAGATCGAGGAAAAAGCCCTTTTCAAATTAGTTAAAAACATTGCCCTGAACGTTTTTTGTATATTTCAAGCTGGTTGATGTTTTTCATACATGTTTTTAATTGTCCACTTGTTTTCAGAATGGGCAACTGAATGTCTGCAACTTTGTAAAGAATTCAGCCCCATTGCCGTTGCCATGGATATTGGAGGGAAGGAAAATATCCCGCTTCATCCTGAGATAATCAAAGCTTTCCAAGTAAGGATTTCAAACAAGCCTCACTCAAATAACACAGCCAGGCCAGCCAGAAGAAGCCGGCTTAAGAAGATGTAATTGTCAATGTTCCTCCTTGGCTTGCTAAAATTCCATAACCTGTTGTACTTGTTTTTCCTTTTTTTTTTGGTAGGAGGCTGAACGATGCAGCATTCATCGCACCGTACATGCTGGAGAGGATGGCCCGGCCAGTAATGTCAAGGAAGCAATTGAGCTGCTCAAGGCCGAGAGAATTGGGCATGGATACCATGTGCTACAAGATGACAGCATTTATCAGGTTGGTCTCAGGGAGTACTTGATTTGGGTCCGGAGGCTGAGGGATGGGTGCTTAGGGTGGCTGGTGAGCAGTGATAGGTGTGGCTCTTGTGACTGATGGGATTCATTACTGTGAAAGACATGAAGTCAATTTCCATTTCATCCCCAGATGGTCAAACACCTGGACATTCATCTTGAAGTGTGCCCAACGTCGAGTGTCTACACTGGGTCATGTGACCCTGACTTTGGCAAACATCCTGGAGTCAGGTGAGGTTATGTAAATACAAGTTGAACAATCTCAAGTTATCTAAGACCAACCTTTTTGGCTGGATACAGGTTTTCAAAATGAATGAATCATCAACTTGTTAAGTACCCAGATCTTTTGCATTCTGGTGTTAGGTTCACTAAAGACAAGATCAACTTCTCTCTGAACACGGATGATCCCTTAGTCTTTCGAAACACCATCAACGATGAGTTTGAGATTGCCAAGAAACACTTTGGACTGACTGATGACGCAGCTGTCCAAGTTGTAAGTACAGTTAGTGTACAAAGTAGAAAATATTCTCATATTTACATCACAGGCAAACTGTTAACGGGTTTCGCCCTTACCCAATGTATATTAATAAGCACTGTATGCTCAGTGCTTGTTCAAGAGCTTGCAAAAAAC